ATTTTGTTGCACGTAAGTAGTTGGCGATTCTTAAAGAAACATACTCATCATTTAAAAGTGATTTTGATGGATGTTTTTTATGCTGAGACAGAGGTAGGGAATTACCTTCCAAACATTTTTTTGCCCATGCTCGTATACATCTAGCACAGTACTCACCTCCGTTATGAATATGGGCTACAATTCAGCTTGCTTCCATTTTAGGAGTATTGTTTTGAAGAAGTTTTATATAATGTATGACAGAAGTATATTTTACTTTATCTGTCTTTGAAGTTTCACAAGTATCGATTAAATGTTGTATTCTTTTTTCAGTTTCTTGAAGCTTCTGTTTCCATTGTAATGAGTTCTCTATAACCTCAGTTTCACTTTTATAGTTTGATTGAGTATCATCCGTTATTTCATCATTTGTATCATTTGTTATTTCATCATTGTTTAAATTTGTATTATTTGCTTGACTAAAAACTCTGTTATTTTACAACTTCCTATAGCATTCATTCGGTTTTCTTGTAATTTCTGTTGTCTTGTTCGAACAAAGTTTCCCGTATATCTCCAGCATGTGTTTTTATTTTCATTACTTATGTTATAAGCGTTTTGAATAAGTTTTTCAAAGACCGTTTCTATGGCTTCTTCATTCTCTAAATCGTATGCATTATCAACTATTGGTAGGTCATCTTTATCATTGTTTTTTTTATTGCCTCTTGCTTTTCGAGCATTAGTATAACGTATTAACAAATGTTTTTTCAATCGACCCATGATAAAAATTTAAGTTTGGAAAGAGCAACAAATTTGATCAATAAGTATATTATTGACTGTAAGAAAGTTTGGAAAGAATGATTTAAGATTTTATTTTGGCATTATTGTGAATAATTTTAAGTTATTTTATGTTTCTATAGAATAAACTTCTTCAAAGTTAACTTGAGCTAAATTTCTTTATTAAATATACATTTGTAAAATTTTCTATCAATCTAGTCTATTTTCTCAATTAATATATTAATTATCATAGGCTGGTTTTTAAAATGTAATAGGCTAAAGTATCGTTATTCTTTTTTATTTAAAAGCATCTAATTTTCTTATTTTAAACATTCTTTTATTCTAAAAAACTTTTAACTTCATCTTTATCTTAATACGTGTTAATATATTCTTGTCAATAGAGTTTCAATTCATAAACCATTTATCCATTTATCTATCAGATATCCGATATCTGATGATAATTGGATAGGATGAATTAAATAGATGGATATCCGAATAATCTGATAAATTATCCGGATCATATGCTGTTTTTTACAGCTGTTATCATTATTCCGGGACACTTTATGAAAAACTAACCAAATAATTATTCAGCCAATTCGATAAGTTATTGATTTCAGCATGATCAGTATAATGTGTTTATTATTTATAGAGATAGTCTAAAGCAAGATATGTGCGTATATACGTGGGTTTTAAATTAGTACTAATCGATTTATAAATTGAAACTCACGTGGAACATATAGCTTTAATTTACAATGCAACAATCGATAATGACCAGATAACCAATATCAATAGAATGAAAAAAATTTTAGGTTATTAGTTTGAATAATTGCTCAACACTTAGGTGTTAACAGATCATCAATAAGTTGAGTTCTTAATGATATGGCTATGTTGAAAGACTTCTACTTCTTGTAAGAAAGCCAGTTTACTAAACCTGAATGATATATATAAAATCTCTTAAGACTTTAATTAGAGAGAAGCCTGACTAGTATTTCTATGAGTTACAATCTGTAATAGAACTTTGATAAAAGAGATTGTCAAGTTTAATATGAGCTTAGCATAAATTTATTCAAATGTATAATACGTATACGCAAATTAAATTGTGTATAAGTATATTATTAATCATTATGTATAAATATATCGCATCATTAAAGAAAAAAAGCCCATAAATTATATTTCACTACAACTGTGCCTAAGAATATCGATATTCAATTAACCGCAAAATTTTGGTATAACGGTGTTAAACTTTCTGAGGATACTGTACATATATAGCTTTAGACTATCTTTGTAAATAATAAACGTTATATTAATTATGCCGAAATCAATAACTTATCGAATCAGCTGAATAATCATTCGGTTAATTTTTCATAAGATGTTCTAGGAAAATGATAACAGCTGTAATTAGAATCAATACAGAAATCAATACAGAAGTCAATATTTTATTGATTAAACATTAATAATATTAATTATTGATATTACAGTAGTAGATTGTTTCATGAGTATATTCCATGACAATAGTGATACAAAGGTTCTTTTATTTTATGATTAAGCATTGTGTCTACAATAGATTACAAGGAACTTTTTTTAGTAGTTGAGCTCCTCAACAATAACAATGTGAGGAACTTTCATCTTGTAATTAGGCTTCGAGGCTACAAGAGTAAGTTCTAGAATGGACCGGCCTGCAGACTGGCCCGTTCCGAATCTTATATGAGAGCAATGTAGAACTTCATTCTTGAAATTAGACTTCACATTGATACAGAGATCTTTTGTTTGATGACTAGGCACCACGGCTGTAATAGCAATACAAGAACCTATCATTTGACTTTCAGGCTTCGCGTCTGCAATGCAAGAATTCTTGTTTGGTGATTAGGCACCACAGCAATAGCAATGCATATTCACATGCTACAATATATAATGCTATATAGACAATTCTTGTTTCACTGTAAATTTTTTCTTGATAAATTTTCCCATGCGAAAAATACAATAGTTAAGTATCAGGCTGCTACAACATATATACTCAGTAGTAATGAATATGCAATTTGTTATGAAGAGTATTAGAAGTAAATACCCAAACATTTTAATATAGAGCCTGTGATTGATAACATACGGATTCCATATATTTTTCTTTTTATATTTATAAAGTCATTTGAATGAGTGATCATAATAAAAAGCATTATAATTAGATTATTTAAAATAATGATCTACTTTTTATTTTTATTTATACTAAATTTTGCTAGGAAGTTTGTTTTAACCAGCAATACCGCAAAAATTGGATTTGATGCTAATAAAATGAAAATATTTTTTTGTGGAGTTTTAAATAGGCTACTTGAATGTGAGTTTGATCTTGCTGCAATGATCATACTAGTCCTGCGTGGTGTCACACACTGCGCAACTACTCTTATACTTTTAATTTATTTTACGTATCAATCTTGGATCATCAGTGTTGAGCATCATCACCTTAAAAAATTCTATTACACAAAATTTTGCTACTTAAAATTAGATTTTATGATTAAGTCAGCCTAGAAAAGTGTTTATTTAATATGAAAATATCACAAGAAAAACTTTTTGTTAGTGCACAGAAGGCAGTTTCATAGATAAAATGTTGAATTATAAATGATTTTTTAATTTGTTTTGATTTTTCGCATTCTTCTGCGTAATACTAGATTTTGAAGTCTGTTTGGTCTGAAAATTTTTTTAATAGTAATATTAGGATAGTTCTTTCTAATACTTCGGATAATTTAGATAATCTATTTCGGATATCTGAAATAAATGGATAGATACCCAGATAGTCAATGCGGGTAAATAGATAACAGATTTATCCAGATTGAAACTCTATTTGTCCAGAAACCCACCTATTTTGGCTTTATTATTTCCTCCCTTTTCTGATAATAATTTTAATCAATTTACTTTTTTAGATTGGCGCATTAATTCAGGGCACATCGATTACATGTGCAAAGCTACATTATTTAAGAAGCACACTGAAATAAATAAGTATGTGATTCGAAGAATCTTCCATTTTGAATTTCTAAATATGGTTATTTATTGTTTAAGAACATCTATCTGAACACATTAATCATTATCATCATAACTAACTTAATTTAATTTAAGCAAATTCTAATAGAATTACTTTTATGGCAAATTATAGCAATTGTAAGGTTTTTTTTTTTTTATAAACTCCTTCACAACAATGAATTTTCAGGTTTAAATTTATTAGCCCTGGCGCTATTGACACTAATCTCAAATAATTATTTGCTGCAAAGTGAAAGCCAGAATTTGGACGTCATTTTTTAATCAGTATAAATTTATAATCAATAAAAAAAAATTTTATTACAGTACATTTTATATTGGACTTTTAATTTTATAATGTGTCAGGCTCAGCTGCTATAGTTTAATAACTATCATATAGTCACTGGTTAGATTTTAGGCAAAATCTGATAAATTAGAATCTTTAAAGCTTGAAATTAGTACCACAAAGAGAAAACTTGTAAACCTTACCTAATAAGATTTCTTTTGCAGCACTTAAATCTGTTTGCCTTTAGCAGCACTTATACGAAATGTTATATAATAGATCGTAGGATATAGCAATTATATATGAAGTGTATCTAGAGTCTGAGTTCTTAATCTTTTAAATTGAAATTTTAGTAACTGCTAGAGTGTTATTCTAAAGCCAGAGTGTTAGTATTGCTTCATAATTGTAGGTAAAGAATTTATATAACTTTCGTGTTATAGAAATTTTATTGGTCAATCGTTGCACATGAATAGATTTTGATTGGCTAAAATCTAGATACTTATGCGCTAATTTTTTAATGTAATATATAAATATCTAAACTTTAAGATAATATAATAAAATTTCTATATTAATAATTAATTAATCTTTTTAATAAAAAATAACAATTGATTGTCAATAAATAATTTTTATAAAAAGTTTTTATTTAATATTTAGCTTTAAAGTTAAAATTTAAATTTGTATTAGTTTAATATTTGTTGATGGCTTTAGGTGGTACCCACCATACAAATTCCAAACTGTATACTAGAACTTCCTTCTCTCCCAAAACCAACTTGAGACATCTTTGTATAATTATATCAACATCCAAAAACTATAATATAAACAAATATACAACTAACACAAACAACATAGAAAACTATATACAAACAGACACTATTAATTTAGCTTTACACAAAATACGTGGACTCAACGATAATATTAAAAGACAACTATGACTTGACTATTGCAAAAAGAAAAATATAGATATAATAAGTATAACAGAAACCAAGCTCGCAGAATTAAAATATACAAATCTACAACTACATAATGAGACATACTACTTCTACACATTAAACATCACAGCAACAACAGCAAAAAAAACAAGAATTAAGCATAAGAGTCGCAATAATACTACACAAAAAATTATAACCATATATACATAATATACAAACCTACCCAGAAACAGCACTTAGTATTGACATATTCCTACTATACAAAATCAATTCTGAATTATAGCAATATACCTATCTTGCAATCTCAATAACTTAACTCAATCTAAAATAATAGAATGGACAGAACAAGCAAATAAACAAAAGATCAAACCGATTATCCTCAGAGACTTCAACTTAGACCTAAACAAAAAACACACACATACTACTCTAATACAATATCTAAAAAACACAAATATGCTACTATTAATTAACACATTATTACCAAACCAACCTACATGGAGTTTTCAATAAACTAGCAGTCAAATAGATGAGATATGGATCTCAAAAATTTAATAGAAAACTTCCACAACTCAATACTAAAAGACACTATACAAATCACAAACAGCGATCACAAAATCATTTTTACATCAGTCAACATACCACATACACAAAAGAAGTAAAAATAAAACAAAGAGAACAATCTACAATTATGATATGATGGATACAGAAACATATGAGAACAATTTGCAAACACAATCAAAACAAAATTTACACAATTTAAAACAGATACACTAAGCCTTAATACAAAA